AGAGAGAGAGAGAGTGTGTGTGTGTGTGTGTGTGTGTGTGTGTGTGTCTACATAAAAATGTAATACATGCATAATTTATTATACATTATTATTATTAATAATATCAACTGCAATATTTATTTAAAAGATGCATTTTATTGACTGACATTTTACAACAGGATTCATTTTCTTTAATCACATTTGCATTGCACTCACATTTATTCATGCAAATGAGGAACATCACAAGCAATTTATCATAAAATCCTCCAAACTTGCTCCTTCAGTCTCTCTTCATCTGTCAGAGTGAGATTTTCAGGATCAGCGAGAGCCTCAGAGCTGATGGCTAACAAAATAAAACACAAACACCCCTCAGTTGACACATTTTTAAGCGATAGCGGTGCACAAGGACGTCCCGTCAGGGTCACCAAACCAGCGCTTCAGTCTGATCTCAGAGCCATCTCCACTCGTGTTTACTACACAACACAGATTTGGCAGCGGCGGCCGCGACAGATGTTCCCGCCAATCTGTGCTTCGCGGTTGCTAGGCGACGGTGAATGTGGGAGTAGCGCCTTTCCTCGTCGCCGCAGACAAAGCCCTTCGCAGTCAAACAACACACAAACAAATACACTCCAGCGCTGCCGCGTGAAGCTCACGGCTAATGACCGTCAACAGAAAGCATGCAGTAAAACAGGAGTCGTGCAGAAGCCCCATCATTTCAGTGCAACTGCTGCTGCTTTTGCTCGTTCTCTGAACATCAGCGGACACAGATTCACTGACGAGGTCAGATAATTCCTGTTCCTGGCAAATACAATTTATTTACTGACTTAAAACAAGAAGAACAACAACAATATATTTTTATATTATTATAATTTTTATTTTTTTATATTTAATTTTTTCTAATTTAAGATGATTTTAAATGTGTGTACAATAGTTTGCTGTGTGAGTTTATTATTATATTTTAAATGTGTGCGTGTGCGTCTGTGTGTGTGTGAGTGTGAGTGTGAGTGTGAGTGTGTGTGTGTGTCTGTGTGTGTGTGTGTGTGTGTGTGTGC